CTCCTGGAAAAGAGAAGAGCTTGTATGAGGCCCAGGAAAGAGCAGTCTGTCCTGAGGACCTAGTAGTAGAACTGAGAACTATAGAGGGGAGAAAATTGCTTTGGGCAGAGGTGGAACAAGTAGATACTAAAACCTTGCAAAGCAAACCCTTATCTAGTATATCATTGAATGAAGGAATAGAATCACATAACACGTGTAGTGCATCTAAAACCAACCAATTGTTTAAGATTGCACTTAAAAGACCCTCACTTGAGAAGCTTAAAGAGACCCTTGATAGTGGTCCCCCACATAGGGAAAACCTGGTGATAAAAGTACCTGTGGGTGAATACATGAGTGAGAAAGAGAGGGAACTGCCTATCCTCTCCCTAGCTGAGAAAGTGAAGCCACGAGCCAGGTTTAAAGCTGACATCGCTATAAAACGATCAGCAGACGACATCCTGTGGACAACCGAGTGGCCAATGACTGCCAGTCAATGGAAAAGGTTGCAGAGGAAGGAGCCAGTGGTCAACAGAGGGACTCCTGAGTGCCAGCAGTCGTGTGTCCACGACTTCTGTATGGTGTCCAGCTGAAGGAGGCAGTAACAACCGGACTAGTCATCAGCGCACCTGATTACAACTGTGTGAAGGTGTAGAGGATAGAAGCGTGCTGTCCGCGGAAGTGAAAGTGAAAAAACAGTGATGGAGAGAAGGATAAACTGACTAGCAGTGAAAGTGGAGAAGAAAAGGGAAAGGAGTTGACAGCAAGGGAGGGGGAGGGGAAGTTGGAGGTATGCTTAGCTGAAGGGGAGTGGGAGGAGTCAGAGGTGACAGTTGAGGAGGAATATAAGGATAAGGAGGGGGTGGTGTGGTTCAGTACAGTGATAGAGGTGTACGAAAGAAAGAAGCGGGAGGAAAGATGAAGGGCTTTTGAGAAGGTCCGTACCCAGGGGCTTATTAGAGATTTCCCCCATCTTAAAGTAGGTGGCCTTTTGCCCGATCCTCCGACCTCTAAAGAGACTTCTCCGCGTATTGCCGTGAAAGAGTGGAATGTAATTGTGGCACCGAGAGAGATCGAGTTACAACGCGAGCGTGAGTGGATGACAGCTTCGTTTGACGAGGGTCCTGACGAAAGGGGGTGGATTAGGCACAAATGTGGGACAATTTGTGCGATGAGGAGCCTCCCACCCCCTCATCCGGAGCCCAAGGGACCTTATGGGGTCCAGCGCCGTTAACACCCTGGGACTTTAACCAAAGTTTGAATAATGTTGACTCAGGCTTGTTGCCCACTTTGAAACCGTTAGAATCGTTTAAAGATGTGCTGGAGGGAGTTGGAGAAAATAAAGTTTCTACTGTTAAAGTTATTAAGACTCAGCCTTTATTGTTTCCCGCCGAAATGGAGGGGCCGCCTGAGGGAA